TTCTTCACTAATAACTTTATATTTCGTTAGTTTGAAGATATTTTGAGTTGAAAATAAATCACACTCTATAATTATGTTGACAATAGGCTATTCTSTTTAAACTGGAATTAGATTTTAAATGTGACTGACATAAATTGATTAGATAAAATTAATTTGGCTTTTAATGCTGTTGTATAACACTACACTATAAATATGAAGACCACAAACTAAAAACCAACTTAAATTATGCATTAATTGAAGTTTGGAGACAGTTTAAAATGCGTCTTTTCAGAACAGCATCTGACAAGTGGGGGGGGGACCTCCTGAGTAAATGAAAACTAACACAGTTGTGTACACTTAAATTAAACATATTTGACAAAAGAAAAAACAGAGCAAGACTACAGAGAGATGAATATATATGATTTATATTTTTATTTCTGTGACTGTATACGAACCACAGGAGACACGACATTAACAGCGGTAGTTATTTCATTCCACGACTGACGCTGCTAAAAAAGACAGATTTTCTTTTCTCAATCTCGGAGAGCAGGACTTCAATCTCTGAACTCGTAAAGTTCTTTTTACTTTTTGCAGTCATTTTCATGAACGGACACTTCCTGATATCTGAGGCAGGAAACATAGTCTTATATGGTGTTTTTGGGGTGGCAATTATGCTAATCTACACTCCGCGTGCACGAGCAGCTGGATACGAACAGGTGTAATTCATCATGTTTACGCAGCTCATTTACACACTTTTCCTGAAGATAGAAGATTTTGTTGAATCTGACGTGGCATGTTCGTATGAACAAAAGTAAGAGAAAATTAGGATAAGAATATGAACATGTTCTTGCATGAGGCCCAATAGCTTACCTAACCTGTTGAACCGGCTGCTGACTGTCAAAGAACAACCAGTCTGTCACTGTACCAGCAGGTTGTCCCTCAGACTGGGAGATAGAGAAATTAGCAAAAAGATTTCACGTTTTCTGCTCTGATTGGTGATTAAGACCTGAACTGGGGTCTCATTTATAAAGGATTGCGTGGAAACCATACTAAAAGTGAACATACGGCCAAAAGGCGGAAATGGCGTACACCAAAAAAAATTCAGATTTATAAACCGGACGTACGCATGTTTTTGTGCATCTTTCCTTTATAAATCACAGCCTCACATCAGAGTTTGCGCACGAGGTCCCGCCTCAGGTTCTACCCTCTACACGCCCACACTCAACCATAAACAGTCAATGCAAAGTAC